CGAAAATGTTGAGGGTCCTATATGCGGCTAACATTAATCTATGAACATACCTAAAGTTTCGTTTCAAAATATTGATACAAATTTTTTTAAGACAGGGTGGAGGGGATTTTTGGGACTCTCAGTACGAATGAATACCTTCAAAAAGGACAGGAATCCAATTTTCATTATTCTTTTTTTTTTTGGCATTCTTGAACTCTCTCTTCACGGAGCATTCATATTCCTGTGCGTCTGTCACTCGCGTTCGAAGTAGCAGACTACCGCTGCTGCCTCTGGTAATATGATAACAGCAACCAAAGGGGTTTAAAAACGCAACAAAAAGAAAAAGAAAGAAAAAAAACCCGATAAGGAAAACTGGATTTTCGCCTATTCATGAAAGCACTGTCATCAAAGTAGTGGTTAAACATTGTCTTCAACTTTCATTCTCGCGAAGGAATAAAGCTTTAAGTACCTAAACCTCTTCAAACTTGCATTTCTGTTGAACTCCGCCCATTTCAGATGCAAGATTTCTTACATTTTTATCCATTAATAATTCGGATATTCTCAAACGAAAAAAATTTTAAGTTCTTTGTGCATCTATTGTTCTTTGGCGGGCTGAAGAAGTAAAAATTGATCTGATAAATTGCAGGGAAAAAATTCTATGATAAAATTGACCTTTTCGCTCGGAGGGTGTAAGGGTTAATAGGGGTTGTGAAGGGTTGGAGAAAGTTCTCTTTTTTTCTTTCTTTTTCTTTCTCTAACTTTTATATTTCTTTTTAGAGTTAAGTATAATCAGTTTCCGTCACGAGTAAGAATTTAAGACGATGGCAGACTCCTCTTAGCACAAGGTTCAATGTTAGTAGGTGGATAGGTTGTATAAATAGAAAATTTTCATGTACATTTCTTGAATGAAAAATCTTGAATCTTAAAAATAAACAAAAGCAAAATGACAGTTATCCATCCAACTTAGAGTACCTATTTACGGTATGTAAGGTCATTTGAGGGGCTTGGAAGACAAGGCACATAGGTGCAGTTCTAGAAATTCGAGATTAGAGATCACAGCCCAGCCGCCTCAGCTGCAAGCCATAGCTCGTTGCGCTCGTATTTCAACAGATGAGATACAAGAAAACGACTGGTCCTCACTGAAAGCACAATAGATAAAAACAGGAAGGAAAGGCAAAGGGAAATCAAAAATCCGAACCATTTTGAGTTCTGTTGTGTCAAAAAGGAAGGATGGAAATAAAAATTAAATCTTGTGCTCAGAAGCATGTCTTTGATCAAAATTGCCTGTGCGTGTTTTTTGGTAGTTGAAGATAAGGTCTATCAGAATACCAAGCGATTTTGTCTGGAAGTAATTTGACGCGGAGAAAACAGCGAATGAGATAAGTGCATTTTTCGATGAAGGGGACGTGGGATAAGTGCGACCTACCGTCACTTTGAGCCCAACTGCTGGCCTCAATATGAATGAGCTGAGCTGAGCTGAAAATTTCAGTAGATGTTCATGAAGGTATGAGACGAACACTTATACATTTTGAAGGTATTCGGAACACTCTATATGTCTGAGTAAAATGCAGAACTTAAAACTCTTTTTTTCGAAATAATAAAAACTGCACTTATGCCCCTTGTCTTCCAAGCCCCTCATTTGTACCTATTTAGAATGAGGGACAATTGTGCAGTTTTTTTAATGGTTCATGAGTTGTACCTTTTATTGAAGCGGAGCTCTTACAGTTATAAGTGAACAAATGCTCCTATTGATTGATAGGCCTCAGAAAGTCACAGAAAAAATACTCTATGTGATGTGACGTTACAAACTAGGCAGATTGTACCCTAAAGAGTGGATTTCAGACTTGTTTTAAGTCCCTGTCGTGATTTTCGTGCGATTTGACAAAGGGAAAGTTTATTCACTTGCCAATATCTGAGGCTTGCAACAGAGATATTAAGCATTTTCTTTTTTTTTAAAAAAAAAACTTGAGAGAGAAAATGCGGTCTTACTCGATGTTTGCTTGATGAACAGCTACTGTGCTTATTTTTATCTCTAGACCTTTCTTTATCTTTGTTGTCATGTGAATCACCATTCACCTCAGATGTTTCCTTCGGCTTATCAGAGAATCCATTTGAAATGCCGTTGACAACTGGATCATTCCATGCTAGAATAAATAAAATCAGAGAATTGTCTAAATGTACAGGCTTCAGATAAAATTTGGAACACTTTTGCAACATTGTGCACCCGGTGACATAGTTGACCCGCTAAGTTCTTTGCCAACCAATTCCAGCTGTTAGCATCTATGTAAGCTGCGCGCACTCCATCACCTGACACTTTTTTAGAATCTGTCACACATACCACCTGTTTTGATACAGACTTCACTGCAGTCAGCAACTTGTCTATAGGGCTGGACACACATTCACAGTGAAGCTTCAAAGTGGTGGCTGTTTAGTCAAGTGTTGCGCATCGATGAGGTAATCAATGGCAACACTTGGCTTAACAGCCACCACTTTGAACGCATGTCCAGCCCTTATGTGATAGCCTCTTTCAGGGCCGCCACGACATGGAAACTTGAACACAAAAACAACATGATTTCTTACGGAAATCAAATCCAACTTTGAAGAAATATGAATGAATACAGCAATACAGCAATTTTTTAATGCAAGCTTACTGACCTTCTTAACCTCTCTTTACAGAATTTTTAGTATTCCAGCTTCCCTGATCCAGAAAAAAAAAAAGACATTATGGAATACTATCCCACTTACTAACTACTTAGAATAATAATAAAGCGGGGAAAACAGAGAGAGAAAAAAAGGAATCGTGACAGAAGTAGGGGGGTGATTTCACAATAAGGGGAAAAGTTAGCTTGCTGGTGTTCAAGGGTGCAAATTGTTCTTACCCGCTCAGTCGATGCCAAACTATGAAATTGCCTTGAAAAAATTTTGAAGGTTTTTTTTTTTTGTTCTTGGAGGTTTTCAGATTTTCATTTCTCATGAAATAATACGACTATGGGACACATCCACAAATAGTCCAAAGGCTAGACAAAATATTTGAGACGGTTTCCACCCCCCTCCCCCCCTCCCATCTTACGAGATGAGAGCGGTGGTGACGTCATTCTCTCTTTGAACCACGCTCGCTGAACAGCTGAGCTGACGCCATCTTTTTTAGTCAGTGCTTTGCTTCGCTCTCAGCCGGTCGACGATCTGGGTTCCGCCCGATTTTTCCATCTTTTCTTTTCTTTCGCTAAAGTAGTTTTTTCTCTTATCTACTTTCCATCCATATCTTAAGGATCTGTTTCCTTGTTTGTAGTGTTCGTCACCCGCCGTGTTGAGTGAATAAATTCTCTTTTCATTTTCCGCAAGCGCGCCTTTTCATTTTCGCTACCTCACCTCACCAGAGCCTACCGGCTGCCCTCTGGGGCTTTTTCCCTTCTTGAGGCCTTAAACCGTTCATCAGCTTCTCTCGTTTCATTGTGATCAGTGCAAAGAGTTGACCTTCTTGCAAAAACACAGCGAGTTGCAGAAAATTGCATAGGTGGAGAACAATCTGCACCCCTGCCGGTGATTTATGAAGAAGGTGACTTGGGGCAAAAAAAATTTAAAACAAAGGTGATCCCACCAAAAACATTTCCATGTAAAGATGAACCGCCAAGCTAAAAATTTAAACATTCGTCGCCCGAGATGCAGTGACATCCAACAAAATAGACACCAAGTAATTTCATTACTGATGATTTAAAGTTTCTTCTCCTTTCAATTATTATCGGGAAAACGCAAAATAAGGACCAAAAAATAATTTAAAGAAATCGATACAAATTAAGATATTTTTTTTTGTATTACAATGGTACCAAAAAAATTGATTTTAAATTATTCTCTCTTTTTTGTCTATATTTTGTGTTTACCCGATAATAATGTTTAAGGGAGAAGAAACTTTAGGATTTATTTTGATGAAATTTACTTGGTGTCTATTTTGTCGGATATCACTGCATTTTGGGCGGCGAATGTTTATATTTTTAGCGTGGCAGTTCATCTTTACATGGAAATGTTTTTGGAAGGAAATTATGGAGTTTTTCACTGAAGTTCACATATGGATAAAAAGAAAATAACGGTCGGATTCTTGAAGATACTTTTTGTTTTCAATTGATGAGATGCATGAAAACTTTACGAAAGGTTGGTAGATTTTTGAGTAGCACTAAAAGTTATGCACAATATGTAACGTAGCTAATGCGAATATTGAAAATTGACTAAAAATTTGAGTTTCTCGTCGAAAAATACCCCCAAGCACAGAATTTCACGAAAACCGATGGAACGGGAGCAGAGATAGCATTTTAGGCCACATCCGCCGTCTTGGATTTGCGAATTTTGAAAATTTGACCAATATTTTGAGTTTCCCATGGAAAAATAACGCAGTAGTACATGAGATGTCCGATTACGAGCAAGATGAACTTGTCCAGTGAAATATACTCCTCTCGCCTTTATTCCTTTTCTTCTTGAGGACGAGGAAGAAAAAAAGGAGATGAGAAAACAGAAGAAGACAATAATAAAAAAGAAGTACTTCAAAGGAAAGAAATAGTAGATGAAGATGAGGTACAGGAAAAAGAAAGGGGATAAGAACAAGGAGAAGAGGAAGGGGAAAAAGAATAAGACGACACAATAATGCAAACATTGTGTGAAGCAGCGATGTTGCGAGGAACGTTCATATTAATAAACCTTCGTAATTCACTTGATAATTAGTTCAAAAAGATCGTCACAAAAACGGCACTCCCCTGTCCAAACAGGAAGAACCATTGGACTAGAAGTTTTCGATTAGTTGTTTCATCCAATTTTTAGATAATCAAATAATTGGTAATGGATTACTAATCGAATAGAATCAAAATTAAATCGTTAATTCGTATCCTTAGAAAACAAATTGAGGGCCGTTAAAAGAGGCTCTTTTTTTAAATTTTATCCTCCACCTTCCTCTTGCAAGATACTTAGACAGCTCCTCCTTCTTCTTGGAGATAAACTTCTCTAATTGTGGGGGGGGGGGAGGGCAAGGAAAAGAACGTGCCAGAGCACTCAATGGTTTACAGTCTGCTTGAGAAAGATGCAGGAAGATTAATTTATTTAATAGGGCTTTCTTATAATCTTTAGAATGATGAAATCAAGTATGAAAAAGTTCAGATACTATTCTTATTATGATACACTTTTTCCATTAGACTGAAATTCTTCTTCCCTGGTACATATTTGTTTTTCGACGGAATATGGCCAAAAATCTTTTGTTCTCCCATAGAGTATTCACATTTGAAACTTTAGACTATTGCACAGCGCTAGGTTTCAACTTCCAGAACACTCACAATTTTAGCTTTGACATAACTTCAATTGCAGAATTCGAGCAGGCGCCTGGTAAGTCTAACTGGAATTTCGGGTACACAGCTGTTTCTTTGGCCTACTGTATGTTTATTAGGTCGCTGATTCCGAATCTCCAGTTTTTTACACCCGTCAGGTGTGTATTCGCCGCCATATTGAAAAAACGGCCTAAAAAGGCCTTTTTTGCGGTTCTTTTAAAATAGCGGCTACGCATGGGAAAAAAAAACCGGATTCAGTTAATGTTTTGAATAGCTGACCTGATTTGGAAGAAAATGATGTAAACATTACACAAATTAAGTTTGCTTACAAATTAAGGAAGATACACCATCGTGGGCATCGCGTCCATTCACGTTTTCACGGCGCACCCATCAGCGCGGCCCGGCTCGCCGCAGTCCGCCAAAGGGCTTTTTTTTTATCCGTAGAACGCATGGATCGCGATGATAGCGGATCGAGCTGGTTCAACCAGCCTGAACCAACCTCAACCTACCTCGGAAGAGTGATCCAAGCGTTCCACTGGAACACATGGAACAGCTGGATCGCGCCAGTGGAACGCGATAAAAAAAGTGATGCGTTCCGTTGTGGTCCACTGTGGCTCGGATAAAAAAAAAGCCCTTGAGTTTCGAAGTGTTTCATAGTTCCGACTTCCAAAGTTCCTCAATTTTTTAGCAAACTTAGCATATTAATATACTATTTTCTTCCATAGAGCTTGATGCAAAAACGGCTTTTTTCGCCCCCCCCCCCTCTAAAAGTTCTTCAGACTTTGTCTATTGATTACTCATACTTCAGCGCTTCTTTTTCCAAATTTTCAGACCCCCAAAAAAATTTTTTTTTGGGGGGGGGCTAGGGGGGTGGAAGTCAAAACCTGTGAACCTCGATATCTCTTGAACAAAGAAAGATATCGAGGTCCGGTTTGGACGAAGAATCGTCTAAAATTACATACTTTACGATTCTAAAGGTCGAAATCCCGATATCACATTTTTAAGTCAACATATGTGCTTTTTTCCAGTTTTTAGGTCCAGAAAATTTCTTTTAAACGAAAAATTTACAAAGATCTCAATTTTTTATTTGAACCAAAACCAGTTTTTTAAATTGTTCGTTTTTTTCCGCATCCAACGAGTGGTCCATTAAGCTGGGGAACCAAACGGTTCCGGAGTTATGATCGATTGAAGTTTCCGCTCAACGCGCGCCGACCGATTTTTGCGCGCGAAAAAGTCGGATTTGACTGTTATTAGATCAGATTGAATGTTCAAACTAAGCAAAATGCATTATAAGGGACTCTTGAGGGTCGCTGAGTTCAGAAATTGCAGATACTTCCAAATAATTTACGTTTTTAAAATTACAGCTTCGGACAGGACCACTGAGCGGCCGGTCGGCGCTCAGTGGGCCTCTAAAATAGCGCTGCGGAGCTGTAATTTTAAAAACGTAAATTATTTGGAAGTATCTGCAATTTCTGAACTCAGCGACCCTCAAGAGTCCTTTATAAAGCATTTTGCTCAGTTTGAACATTCAATCTGATCTAATAACAGTCAAATCCGACTTTTTTGCGCGCAAAAATCGGTCGGCGCGCGTTGAGCGGAAACTTCAATCGATCATAACTCCGGAACCGTTTGGTTCCCCAGCTTAATGGACCACTCGTTGGATGCGGAAAAAGACGAACAATTTAAAACACTGGTTTTGGTTCAAATAAAAAATTGAGATCTTTGTAAATTTTTCGTTTAAAAGAAATTTTCTGGACCTAAAAACTGGAAAAAAGCACATATGTTGACTTAAAAATGTGATATCGGGATTTCGACCTTTAGAATCGTAAAGTATGCAATTA